TGAAGACCAATTCAAACCAAGATCTTCACGCGGGAAGACAAGCATGTGTTGTTGAAGATCAATTTGAACCCGGATCTTCACTGTGGTAGCCGCATTTCTTTTGTTAGAAATGGAGTAAGAATGCTTTCCTTGGGGGTATATATTTTATATTCCCAGAGCGGAAGATTTGGTTTCTTTTAAAATATATCCCTAATGATTGCCCACATGTCATTGGATTAAGATCAATAACATCAGACCTTGAGTTTTTTTGTGCGGATGTAAAGTCATGTCGGAACCTCGAATCAGCTGAAAGGAAAATTAGAATAATATTTTTTATGGTTTGTGAAAAACAGCGTGATTATGCCAGCATGTGGGATACAAGCGATGCCACAAATCGAAAGCACAATGTTCCACTGTCTGACGAGATTCCGGGGAAAAGAATTATCAAACCAATATGATTGCAAAATACTGCGATTAGTTTCTGACAGTTAAATATACCATCTGTACTGAAATATACCCAATGAACTATAACTGTTAATGACATTTCTGAAATATAATTCAGCGTGTTTCGTTAATAAAAATCTTGCACTATTTCCACTAATAAAAGTCAGGTTTTATTGTATAATAATTAAGTGAATTGTATTACCGATAAAGAGATAATCGTTGTTATAGTTACTTTAAAACTTCTATTTTAGTTTAATGTGAATTAATTGCACCGTATTTCAGGCAACTGGAGGGATGTGTCTCCTCTGATTCGATGATAAAGCGACCCGTTGTCTACAACGAATGCTTGAATATGTTGAACATCAGACATAACGAACATAAGGATAAAGTGGACAGAAGGATAATGAGAATAGAATGATATAATGAACATGAAGCATACAGTGAGCAGAAGGATAGGGAGAAGAGAAGGATGTAATGAACATGAAGCATACAGTAAGCAGAAGGATAGGGAGAAGAGAAGGATGTAATGAACATGAAGCATACAGTGAGCAGAAGGATAGGGAGAAGAGAAGGATATAATGAACATGAAGCATACAGTGAACAGAAGGATAGGGAGAAGAGAAGGATCAGGAGATCATTTCTCGAGAAAGTCATGTCGAATCGAGAAGGATCATGAAGCATCCTCAGCTGAGCAGTAAGGATAGGAGAAGAGAAGGATCGTTCCTCGAACATCATTGCATCAGTGAGCATCGGCTATCGTAAATTTCATCCGGATCGACTCAGGAGAAGGATCGTTAATGAACATGATCGCATTACGCGTAAGGATCGGTGAACAGGATGGGGTCGAAGATGAAGGTTTATCGGCCAATGAACATGAAGCATACAGTAAGCATGGAAGGATCCGGGTCAAAGAGAAGGATAAAGGATAATGGAACGGGGAGCTAATGTAATGAGCAGAAGGATAGGGAGAAGAGGAAGGATAAAGTAATGAACAATGAGAGCATACAGTAGGAGCAGAAGTGGATAGGATGAGAAGAGAAGGATGGAATGAACATGGAAGCATACAGTGAGCAGGAAGGATAGGGAGAAAGAGAAGGATGTAATGGTTTCTCGGCAAGTGAAACAAGGAAGGATGGGGATGTAAAGGACATGAAACATGGTGAGCAGGATGAGGAGAAGGATGTAAAGAATTTATAAAACATACAGTGAACAGATGGATGGAGAAGGATGTGATGGAACATGGAACTCTAATCACTCGTAGATAAAACTCGATTTCCTCGCTTTCCTCAATCGCTGGAATAAAGGATCATAGTTTCTCGGCTTCTCTAATAAAACAAAGGATCGAGAAAAGGATCATAAAATTTCCTCGGCACCATAGTAAAACAGATCAGGGAAAAGAAAGGATATGAACATAAACATAAAAGTAAACAAGTCGAGGAAAGATCTCCTCGTTATCAACTCAAATTAAATTTCATCGAGGATAAAATTCTCGGCGCTTTCTCATCCCACTCGAAAGATCCGCGAAATTCCTTCATCATCCAGATCGCGAAATTCTCAACTCCGCGTCGAAACGCGATAAACTTTCTCGTCATTTCATAAGATCAAAGATCAATTTCAACTCGCAGGATATAAAGTACAGAAGAAAGGTATAGGGAGAAACAGAAATACATCTTTAACCTACAGAGTACAAAAGCACATAGTAAATATAGGGTTGGAGAGTACATAAGATAGCGAGAACAAAAGGATATAGATAATATGAGAGTATGGTGAACAGAAGGATGTTGAGTACAGAACAATACCGTGAACATAAAGATAAAATGAACACACGGATATTGAAAACAGAAGGATATTATGAACAGAGGGTTATTGACAATATAATATATTCGGAACATAAGGATATAGAGCAAGGAAGGGTAAAGTAAATATGGATTCAGAGAACACAAGGAAAGTGAAAACGAATTGATTTAGTGAATCTAAAGATATTACGAACAGTCGAATAAAGAAAACAAACGGGTTAAGCCAACGGTCGGAAATAACGGCCAGATGGATTTCACAGCAAGTCGAACATAGAAAATCACTTCATCCTTATAACAAGGACAGACCATTTACCGTTACGCTCCTGCCATGATTCTGGAACAAATAGCCAACGCATTCCAGTCCTTTAATCTCCTATCGACTTTGGCCTTTAATCAGATAATGGGTCAGCCATGTTCAATTCACTAATCTAATATATTCCCATTAGGATTTACACTTATACTCATTTCGATGAGAATGATTTTCATGCTAAAACCAGCATTTTTTTCTGACTAGAAAATTAGACCAAACAATACCCATCGGTATCGATATGGAGAATAGATTCTTAGACAGCACCATTAATTTCTGGGAATATGGGATGTATTTATTCAACAGATCCACGATCCTGAGGGAAATAATTCCGCGCAAAAGGTCATGTATACAAAGGCAAGGTCGTCTTTTGTTGCCATGGTTAAAAGGGAGATAATAGATTTCAGCCTAAACGCTAAGCAAAGAAGGACCGCTGAAGGATTGTGAATCAGAAATAACAGAGCTCAGCTTAATTAAATATACTTCCCAAAATAATGTTTGTCAAGCCCCGTCTTGTTTACATTCTGATAAATCTCATTCTGACCAACGGCGAATGAAAATACTACCGTTGTGTTTCAAATTGAACAGAAATGTTATTTGAGATTTTTTGGGTGTAAGATGGCGAGAGGGCAGGTCAGGTTTGCGCCAGATTGCCAGAAGAAATTGTTCCTGATGACGCAACTGTTATATCTAACTGATGGGACGTTGTCAAAATTGATTGATGTCGAATTACATCTCTGGTTTCGATAAAAGCACCCATCTTCCCTGATCCGCAAGAAAAGGAGCCAAGATGGCAGGAAAATGCTTTAAGTCAATTTCCCAACGTTAAACCAATTTCGAGGCCAAACGCGAACGGTCTTCGTGGTCTTCGCAGGACTATTAGTTTTCACGTAGGACATTACATATAAAAATCCAATATACTGAAGATTACTTCCTTACACACTTGGTCTTTGATTACACAGATACCAATTTTTGGTTTCGATTTTCAGAGGAGAGCTATGGAGTGGGAGAAAGACAACGGAAAAATAGGGGAGAGGGCAACGAGAAGACAAATTGGAATAGAAATTGGTTAGGTTTTTCTTATATTTTACTCAATCTTGGCAGCAAATATCTCTGACGGTTGAAGTATGATGTGGAACGCGAAAGACACATTATATAAGTTGAGGGTTCAGTGGAGAATGTCGACTGTACTGTAGAGGGCGATCGACGAAAGCTTGGGCAATATTTAAGCTACAACACGTGGACAAACTGTGGACTGTGGAGAAGCGAACATGGGCGTGATAGGGTAACGAGGCAGTACACTACTCTACCACCAACGGCAGTTGTAGGAGCAACATATAGACATATAGAACTGAATGACTTGAGTGTGAAAGTGTAAACATTTAGAGTGAGCTGAATCACAAGATGGTGGTGTAAATCTAGCATATCTACTGCACTCAACCACTTGAGGTTGCAAGTGTAGCGTATAAAGTGAGCTAAATCACTGGTGGTTGTACGTATAACGTTTTTGTGGGCTAAATCACATGATGGTGTAAGTGTAACATATAGACTGCGTTAAATCACTGGAGGTTGTAACTGTAGCATATAGAATGGGCTTAATCACTGAAGATTGGAAGTGTAAAGTATGGACTGTGCTACATCACTGAAGATTGTAAGTGTAGCGTAAAGACAGCGCTATATCACTTGAGGTTGTAACTATAGCATATAGAATGGGCTTAATCACTGAAGAGTGAGTGAGTGAGTGATGTTTGTTTTACACCGCTTTTAGCAATATTCCAGCAATATCACGGCGGGGGACACCAGAAATGGGCTTCACACATTGTACCCATGTGGGGAATCGAACTCGGGTCTTCGGCGTGACGTGCGAACGCTTTAACCACTGGGCTACCCCACTGCCCCAAATCACTGAAGATTTTAAGTGTAGCATATAGACAGCGCTAAATCACTTGAAGTGGTAAGTATAGCATATAGAATGGGCTTAATCACTGAAGATTGTAAGTGTAGCATATAGACAGCGCTAAATCACTTGAGGTGGTAAGTATAGCATATAGAATGGGCTTAATCACTGAAGATTGTAAGTGTAGCATATAGACAGCGCTAAATCACTTGAGGTGGTAAGTATAGCATACACAATGGGCTTAATCACTGAAGATTGTAAGTGTAACGTTTATAATGGATTAAGTCACTAGATGGTGTAAGTTGAACATACAGACCACGCTAAATAACTGGAGGTTGTAAGCGTAGCACATAAACTATGCTTATTCACTGGAGGTTGTAAGAGTATCGTTTATAGAAGGCTAAATCACTAGATTGTGTTAGTGGGACATATAGACTGCGCTAAATCGAAATGTAAAGAAGAGGTGGTCACCATATTGGGACAGCATGAACCACGACTTTCAAACTTCTTTGATCAGTAGTATGCCCCGCCGCATTGAAGCCTGCATTGCTGCCCATGGTGACTTGACAAAATACTAACTGTTCACCTGTCTTTGAATCTGGAGTTATCTTCTGCTAATATTCACATTTAATACGTGAGTAATCTGTGAAAAAAATAAAAATACAATCTTTAAATTCTCAATAATTTCTGGTTGTACTGTACTTTTACCATATAAATTGGGCTAAATCACTGGTTGTACTATATAAAGTGGGCTAAACCTTTACCATATAAACTGGGCTAAATCACTGGAGGTTGTACCTTTACCATATAAACTGGGCTAAATCACTGGAGGTTGTACCTTTACCATATAAACTGGGCTAAATCACTGGAGGTTGTACCTTTACCATATAAACTGGGCTAAATCACTGGAGGTTGTACCTTTACCATATAAACTGGGCTAAATCACTGGAGGTTGTACCTTTACCATATAAACTGGGCTAAATCACTGGAGGTTGTACCTTTACCATATAAACTGGGCTAAATCACTGGAGGTTGTACCTTATAACCTGGGCTAAATCATTTTACCATATACTTGCTATCACAAAATTGGGCTAAATCACTGGAGGTTGTACCTTTACCATATAAACTGGGCTAAATCACTGGAGGTTGTAAATCACTGGAGGTTGTACCTTTACCATATAAACGGGGCTAAATAAGTGGAGGTTGTACCTTTACCATATAAACTGATCTGTGTCAGTGGCGGATGTACGTTAACCATATAGACCGGGCTGAATCACAGTAGGTAGTGAGTACAATACATACATAATATCGAATCACAGGGATTGTCGGTGCAACAGATACATTATACTGAGTCACCGGCCGTGGCGAGTGCAACACATGCGATGCTCGTATCAGCGGAGGTGGTAAGTGTAACATACACTGTATCAGTTGGTGGAAACTCCGGATGGTGTTCTATCAAATGAGGGCAGTATTTCTTGTTTGAGTGGCATTTAGAAGTTGGTATGATGAACAACGAGGAGAGTTCTATGATATACAACTTCTTTGATATAATATGAGCGACGTTTCGGTGTAGCTACTAACACCGTTATCAAGCAAGTGATGTACAATACTAAAGGCAAGGTAATATATATAATATATAATACTGTATATATAAATATCACATTGATAAATAAAAACAGAATGCCTTGTTCTCAATATTAAAAAAAGGAAAAAGAAAAAGGCATTCTGTTTTTATTTATCTATGTGATATTTATGACTGAACACACTATTTTGGACTATTTTGTGCGTATATATATATATATATATATATTAAATTTGGCTAAATCACTGGAGGTTGTACCTTTGCCATATACAAAGTAAGGTTTGAACAGTAAGTGATTGATGTTTGCACAGTTGATGAGGTTGATGTACAAGGGCGGAAGATGTTTACAGTATTTGTTCGTTGTTGTTGACGCACTCTGCAGTGTTGCAGCTAAAAGACGGCGGTAAGTATTACAGCAACGATATGGCCACTTACATAGCAACTCTACGCGCACACAACATTTAGACATTATTACCCTGGATATACCCAAGCTGCATGTGAGGTGCTAGAAGGTTAACAGTCATATGACTTATCCCACCGGGTACCCATTTTCTGCTGGGTCAGCAGAGGCAGTTTTGAACAAACACATGCTTAAGGTGAGACCACATGTATGCTTCGTTGTGGGGCAGGACTGAAGTAATAGAACCGCTGAGGAGTCACGCTGCCAAACATGGTCACTCATCCAAGACTCTCCGTGATCAACGCTGCTTAACTTCAACTGATTTGTGACCTGCGCTCAATGCACAGGAGCACACACCACCAATACATATTACTAAGTCGCAAGAGAGTATGAACATGTGTGTTCACAGTACTAAACATTCGACAGAAAATGCCAGACTAAAATCATTTAATGACGTAACTGGCGTACTCAGTGTAAGACGTTAAATACTTGTCGCAATGATAATTAAGTTCAACATCAGTTAATACTATACCGAGAACGAGACAAAAAGTTCAACATTGACTACCAACGGGTTCCGACGAGACAGGCACTTCCAAGAGGAAAGAGGGCTGGGGAATGAAAACGGGCGAGGGGGTCATAATATGGGGTTGGAGAATAATCTAGTGAACCGGACGTTGCCGGACTTGACCAGTCATCAATTTGTCCAGGCGCCTGTAGCGAGGCTCAGCAGACAAGCAGCAAGTAGGAAAACAATATGTCTCCTGTAATCCTCCCATCGCCCTTTGGCTGGCAACAGGTCATGTGAAAATCGAGACGACTGACTGATCGATTGTCTAAATTGGATATTGGTCCCCCTCCTCCCCTGGGCGGGACTTCCAAATTGGGGATCAATCTGGGGGCAAGGGGGTTGGGGGTACTCTGGCATTCGCATTAGTTAGTTCTGCAGCTTTCCGATGAGTCGAATCGACTGAAAGCCTGTGTGAAGACAGATGCTTCTGTCTGTAATCAGTCGAGAAAATGAAATGAAAACATGAGAAATAGTTGACGGATTGGAAAAACGTCACCTTTTCCTGTCACGACCTTGCCATTTAAAACAGACGTGAAAACACAAAACAGTAATTTACGTTGTACATGGGAGTTATGTCTTTTGAGGTATAGACCCTTAAGATGGGCAGAATTACTCTCATCCTCCGATACTTTGATCATTGGCCGACTACTGTTTTTTTAATTCCCCAAAAGAACCACAACAGAAAACAACTGCACTATCAAAGAAATAAAAGCTCTCAGTTGTTCCGAATGTGATCTGTAAGACAGGAACTCATGTAAGGAACTGTATAATTTTGTACTTAATTTGAAACCGAAATAGCAAATAGTTTCAGTAACGGTCGCTTCTTTGTCGAAGGGCAAATCTCCGCCTGATGAGATTGAATGGAATTTGATCCAAATCATTTACTTGTTGTTCATTAAACTCGGCGTCCGCCACTTCTTAAATGTTAGTTTCAGACAGCATTCGAAATTAACGTCGGTCCTTAGGCCCGAAGCCGACTGAAAACCATTGTCCACAGCTTTTGTTTTCTGCAGGTCCTTGTGGCCAACAGCTTCTTCATCCCCAATAACTAAGAGTATTATTTCCATATTAAAATATATGGCCTACACATTCTGATCAGGACCCACAACTTTTTATGGTCCTCAGGGCCTGAGGCTTTTAAGGGTTAAGGGTAAACCCTGGTTACAACAGCCTTGATACGTTGTATAGTGGGGATATTTTGGAATCAGTGTCCAGATGGGTTCGAATCCCGGTTCGTCTAAATTCTGTTTCTGGTTTTGTCAGAACCATGCTCGTGGGTTTCACGAAAACAGCAAACGTAAAACGAAACATCGGATCCATTACAATAAAGAAGTTGTCTACCCTAAAACATCGTCCCTGTTCATCATACAGGAAAGTGGCTTTCTAAATACTACTTAAAGAGGTCATGCAACTCTATTACTTTTGGGCTGTCAAATACTTTTATGACACACATGTGGATGAAAATTCCAAATTTGATGCATCAGTGACAAAAATGATGTCCGATGCAATTCTTTGTTTTGACTTGCACCAAACGTTCCCTTGAATTTTCCCGCAGCGATATATCTGGAATATTGCTAAAAGCAGCGTAAAATCATATTCACTCACTCACTTGAATTTTTAGGTTAACAATTGACCAGCCTTTGCATGTGTTCATGACAGGTGCCGCCTATTGGGCAGGAAACGCTCTCCTTTTCGCAAACACCCGTTATCATCACTACTTGATAGGGACTCACAATCGCATGATGCATCGATATAGTAGATGTATCCTGTGGATGTAGGAAAAGTTTTGCCTCTTTTATTTCATCCCGGATCATAACACTAGGTGGGGTTGAAGCGTTCGGTCGTCAAGCCGAAAGTTCGATTCCCCACAAGGGTACAATGTGTGGAGCCCATTTCAGGTGTCCCCCGCCGTGATATTGCTGGAATATTGCTAAAAGCGGCATAAAACCATACTCTCTCATCACAAATGAGTGAGTGAGTGAGTTTAGTTTTACGCCGCACTCAGCAATATTCCAGCTATATGGCGGCGGTCTGTAAATAATCGAGTCTGGACCAGACAATCCAGTGATCAACACCATGAGCATCGATCTGCGCAAGTTGAACCCATGACATATGTCAACCAAGTCAGCGAGCCTGACACCCGATCCCGTTAGTCGCCTCTTACGACAAGCATGGGTTGCTGAAGGCCAATTCTAACCCGGACCTTCACGGGTCACATCCCAAATGAACCTGACACACTGTGGTAGAACTGGGAGATTGTATTCAAAGCGGCGTTAAACCCAAATCAATCAGTTTTCTTTGTATGTAACGGCTGTTTCGTTTTAGTCCGTGCTTCGCTTAAACTAGTTCCACGTGAGAAAAGCAAGATTTATGGATGTCAACTTCTCTATTGTGAATAACACAACGCTTCGGCGTTTATTCTGGCTCCTTCATCAGGTGAATGGTAGGGAGTATCGGGCATATATGTATACATACGTTGAAGCACTACAACACATCTGTAATACAAACATGAGGCCAGTGATACACAAAAACAACATGGCAATTGATGTCATAGGAACAGAATACAAACACGAGCAGGCCAGTGATACAGTACAAACATGAGGAAGGAGCAATCATACACTCCAAACCGTCATAATAAACAAGTTGACATCCATAAACCTTGCTTTTCTTATGCTTTTCACTTATAAATGCCCCTCAAAGATTAAATCCACGTATACTGCGCGACTAAAACTATCTGTACCATATCGATATCCGGTTCCTGTTGCGCATGCGTTGTGATATTCATTTACAATGTAGTGGAGATTGTGACGTCACACCTCGAACGATACAGATTATACCAAACAACACTGGTGTAAATAAAAGCGAAAGCGATAATGCTTCACAAACAAATTTCATGTTTTTCTGTTTACATTCGAATAGGATAACAAATGAATACTATGATTAATGTTATCCAATCACAACCTACGAGAGATCGCCGGCTGATGGCGTATCCGTTCAAGTAGACGGGAGCCAAGTTGGCGCGACTATTGAGTGATCATGA